ATACAATCAGTTACCTGTACCTACCTTCTCTTCTTGATGTAAACAAAAAAAAATAGTGAATGTTAAAACCTCTGTCATTGAAATGCGGTTAGCTGTAGATACAATAATAAACTTTTTGCTAAACCATATTTAGTTATGGTTGGATAAACCGATGATTGTAGGAGTTTTTATTGATCCATCATTAATTTAGTAATTACATTACATGCCTACCATTGTACGCAAAATGATGAGGAACATTAAATTCAAATAAGTTCGTCCGTGAAAAAATCTCCTTTGACCTTTTAAACACAAAAAAGTGGTTTTTTGATAAATTAGTAATCATTTAAACACCTCATCATTTCCTTGAATGTATCATATTATTAATAATTAATCTTAATCAATAAATAATACCTAAATACTTTATTAATTGTAAAATATAAACATTCAGTTGGGTATATTAATATATGTATGTTAAAAATTAAACTTATACAAACTGAGCACTTATAAAGACCAAGGATTTATTCCCATAACATTTTCCAATGAGTCATCAACCATTACATCTATTCAACTTTTTCAAGCCGAGGTCAACAACTGTCTCATTAATCCTTAATTTTATACACTGGCAACCCTAAAGGGATAACTTTATCTTCATAAAACGAGGGCCACCGTAATGTTTGCCCTTTTTCATCTCGGAAGGAATTTATAAGGCCAAGAGTCACTTCCACACATGTTCTGGCTATTATAGACATTGACCTAGTGTAAAGGACGGGCTATTTATAGCCTCGCCTTAAATAGCCACGGCCCTACAATATCGAGAATATCAGTTTGTTTTTTAAAGCCAATAATGGTACTGGCATCTTATAAATTATTGCTGTTTAAATATGGAACACATATATTATTTTTGAATGTCGAATTTAGAACATTCGTTAAAATTAAAATATATGTAATAAGGAAAAACATTGTTTCGTAAAGAGAAAAAAATAAGTTTCGATATTATCAGTAATTTAAATTTGAACTTAGATTTGTGTTCGCTGTATGACAATAGTCGCAATATAGCACAATAGAAAAGGTATTACGTGTAAGAAAAAAAATCTTCTCTCAATAGTTGAGACACAATTAGTACGTAAAACAATCAAACAAAATACAAAACTAAACTTTCATTTAAAACAAAAGAGACAAACATTAAATATTCCAACAAAATTATACAAGCAATTATGTAGAATGATGGAAACAGACAGACAAACAGATGCTTTCTGTATTTTAATTGTGACGTGATATCAAACAGTATAATTATGTGAAAAGGCATTGTCGCAGTGAAAACAGTACATTGTGGACACCATGAGAACCTCCTGTGATTACAAGCTACAACGATACTTCGAGAAAATTGTTTCCGTGTCTTCACCATTATTTAAATAAAATAAAACAAACATTTTGCCTCCATATCTTTGCCCATCTATAGTACAAATGCACTCAAGCCGTAAAATTAGAGACAAAATCAAGATTAATTGTCACAGCTGCAATTTTTAATGTATAAGTAATGAAGATCATTCTTCATAAAAATTAGGTACACCCTATATGTATGTCTATGTGGAGTTTTTTTTTAAGGGGGGGAAATCATCGAATGACTGCTCCCGCCTGGGTGAGGCGGGAGGGAGTGTCAGACTCTTACTGACAAAAAACCACCCCGTTCCTACTCCTGCACGTCGCGCCGGAGCCCCGGTAACCCGTTAGGTTCTCCGTGTTTATCTCAAATCTTCTAATATACGCCACGTAGTTCAGTAATGGACTGTTATGTCATGTCTTCTAGTTAATTCTTGTAAATAATTAAATCTATATAAATAAAAATGTATTTCCGTTCGTTAGTCTCACTAAAACTCGAGAACAGCTGAACCGATTTCGCTGGTCTTGGACTTGAAACGTTCTTGGAAGGTTTAAAAGGTGAGAAGCATTTTTTTAGGCTACACAGAGTTTGCACGCTCAGCTAGTAATAAATATTTTTACCAACACTGCGGTGTCCAGTATTTATTTATGAGGGTTCTATCTAGTAGCAAGCGAAAATAGTCCAATTAACATGATTTATTAGGTATCTATTTCAAAAATAAATCCATGCAGATCTCACATTTTAGCGACCAACTCAACCAATTAGTAGTAGCAGAGTTGATCTGAATATACAAGACCAATAAGGTATGCTTATCCAGTCATATTTAACTAGATTACAGTCGGCACTAGTTCTACAAATTAATATACACCATGCTGTCGCATTATAATAAGGAAATGGGTTTTATGTAGAACAAGCTTGTTGTTGTCAATAGTCTAAGTTAAGGTATGGTATGTAGATATTCCGGTCTCCCAGACCCCCCTCACATGGCGACGCTGGTGTGCTCCTGGGTTTTTAGTGGGTATGGGTGGGTCTTTTCCCAGAGAGTCCCACATATCCCTCCCGTCCCCCACGGGAGGATGATAAATAAAGTATTTTCCCAGGGTAAAAAAAAAATGCTACTGTAGCGCCATGTTTTGAATGGGCCCCGGGAGTGATTCTTTGATGTCACAGAAAACGACTTATAACGTCTCCGGTGTTGCGGGCGTCCCTGGGCGTCACAGATTGCTTGTCATCGGGCATCATATGCCTGCTCATTTTCTACCAAAAATATAAATATTCCACATGTGTTTGGCCATAGCAACAAATAAACAAATGTCTATAGAAAATATGTCATTAAAAATCGCACGCAGTTGATGTATGATTTGCATTTCATTAACACCCACATCATTCTCATTAGTTTTACGTAATATGGGCCAAAGTTATTGCCAGTTTTACAAGTCTAGAAATTCTGGGAACAGCTATGCATAATATTGTTACTAACTGGAAAATCGAAAAGGTATTTGAAACATTAAAGTTCTAACAATTTATACAAGATTTGCATTAGAAAAATTAAGTGTTTAGCAACTTGTAATACGAACTTTACTACCATAAAATTAGATTATTAACCATGTAAAATTATAATTTAAATCACCTCATTTACCCTACCATCCCACGGTAATAGGCTCAAACCAAAATAGTTTACAAAACCGAAAGATCACACGTAATGATTTCGCAAAAAGACCAACCTAAAAACACGAAATTTTTAATAACAGCATGTTGTGTATTAAGTAATGGCCATTGCTAATGATAAATCCGTAATTATTGTGACTAACAATACGTCAGTAATCTGATTAAAAACAATAAAAATAGTTTCGTATCTAAAGTTCACCCAGTTTCATCTTCTAAGTCGGAAATGCACTACATATTATGTAAAGTGATCTCTCACAGATGTACTATTGTTGGTGTTGTGGAAATATCTGGAAGTGGCCCGAAGTATGGGCGTGAGCGAGTTAATTGTGACCTGGTAATTAGGTTATGAGGTATTGTTATGACCAACTTTGGTAATCATAGAGTTTGCTTTTTATGGCCCTTCTGGGTTAGAAAAGTGCTTGGATTTGCAGCACTTAGATGCAATGTATAAATTATGTTATTGAGCGATTAAGTATAAGTATTTATTATTACAGATTTTATGTTGTTAATTGATTAAGTAATCATCAAATCTTGTAAAAAGTATTAGAGGCTTAGTGAAATTGCACCAAACTTTTTGACATAAAAATCTTTACCCAAAATAGATATAATAAACCTAAATAACCAAAAATACTATTTGCAAAAGACAAAGATTTATTATAACAAACATTACGAAACCTGTAAACCCATTTGTTATACTCACAGACATAACAAACAAAGATGAGCTAAGTTGAAGAAGTTTAACAACACGTAACATACCAGATCCTTAGCTTCTTGACATAGTAAGTTATAGGCACATTTTGAAACCATTTACATAAGACATCATATTTTCACACCAGACATTAGATAATAACGCTTGTCGCTTCTAGCACATCAAAGTTCTCTAATTCATTGCTCATTGAGGAAGTGCTTTTTGTACCAAATGTCACACGATTACAGCAAACTATTGTCTTTATTTTTTAAATTACGCTTTCTCTTTGCACACATGTTTCAATTGAGAATTTTAATGGTTCTAGTGTTGGGATGAGGAAAAATTGTGTTATATAAACTATGAAAGATGTAATGGATGAAAAAGATACCAATAAGTATTTGATTTATGAAGTTGTGACGCACATGGAAGTTTTAGAGTAAAGAAAATCACTAATTAGAAATCAGACATAGTTTAAATGATACGGAGTCGCGGAGATTACCGGGGTTCCGGCTCGAAGCGCAGGAGTAGGAACGGAGTGGTCAGTAAAAGTCTAACACTCCCTCCCGCCTCACCCAAGCGGGAAGAGTCAATCAATGATTTTCACTCCTTAAAAAAAGATATACTATATAAGGGTACGGAGGCCTTTGCCCTGTAGTGGGACGATCATGACTATAAAATGACGTATTTAATGACGGTTAGTTCACAAAATACTAATTGAATTCTTAACAGAGAGAATTTTTAAGAGACTCTACTCACTAACTCTAAACTCTAAACTAACTCATATAGGAGATCGCAATAAAATTCTAACACTTTAGAAGAAAGCAAGTGAAAGTGTTAGGTGCTAAGTCATCACCAAAGTTTACTTTAAAACTTTGAACACTATTGAACAATATTGGTAGTGAATCGATTCGAAATAGATTGCCAATCGTTTACCATCAGTATCGAATTGGAATCGATTGAAAAATCGTGTAGTATACGATTCACTGCAATTATTTGAGCTTCGATTAGATCCGAAACATTCACGTTTTTTATCAACACACATTTTATATTGTTTAACGAGTATACTGACAATTAAGAATGCTAGATTTTTTCAGTAAATTGATATTTAAAACTTTCTAATTGTATTTCAAATAAAGATGGATGCAATAAATTCCTTTTAAATATCGTTAGAGTTCAAATTGTTTAGAAAAAGATCAGTGGGTCAATATTAATTGAATCTAGACTTCGATTTATTGAAAGTTCATATTTGTAATCAAAATATTTATTTCCTTTTTTTTGTTACAGAAAAATGACTGTCAAGAAAACAGCCCGGACGGGCGGCTTTGCGGCCATGGTTGCGCGACAGAAGATGCACAGCGTCAACCAACAGATCGATATTATGGCTATCAGCAAACCAACCTCCCTACAAGCTTATAACATAGTTGTCGGCTTCAATGAGAAGGACCAACTACAACTATTAACTAAGGAAGATATTACAGACGAAGATAAAAAACTAATTAAGGATTACACAGAACTAAAACCAACCAAATGTGAAAATATTTCAATAGATGACGTCACAAACTGTGTAAACATCGAAAATTATCCTAATTGCGATAACACTCTAGTCTTTTACGTAACCAAAAATATCAACAAGGAAGCCATCGCGCTCAAATTCGAAAACGAACAAGACTTCAAGAGAATATACTTCACTTACAAATACTTCAAAATGCGGAACCGACTGACGAAAAACACGAACAACTATTCGAGCAGTGAAAACTTGTTTTCTAAAAAGAAAACTTATGACATTTTCAAAAGCAGAAAGAATAGTATGGACGACTACAGTTTGTTCGAGAAGGGACGCAGCAATGAGTACGATTTACTACAAACTACAGATAACGATGGTGTAACACATTTATCGGTGCAACACAAGAATAATTTAAACAATCGATTTGAGCAGCCAATGAGTCTAATTGGAATAAGAAATGATTTGAATGACGCAGGAGAAATAGACAGTATAATTTACACAGACATAGAAATACCATCAAAACCTGAAAGAAACCGATTGTTTAATAAGAAACACAAAGCACCTCCTCCACCAATATTAAAAGATAGTCAAACTAAAGTGTTGAAAGGAGAATTTGTGAGAGTAAACATTGATCGAGCGCCGGACATCATACCGAAAGATAACAAATTGAACAAGGTACCGGACATTCTCATGTTCAGAGATAATAAATCAAATAAGAAGAACGCGACGAACAATATCTGGCCAGCAAGTAATAAAGGTGAGTCTTGATTAGCTTTAATAAACCTATAGATAAAAAAATAATCAGTTTTGATCGAATAGATAGTTAACGGGAGTTAGTTACCGCATAAAAGCAACATACATTTTTTGTCTCAAAAAGTGATAGTTCATGTTGATGTTCTTCCTTATGGAGGAATCAATACTAAACACGAAGAAGCCAATAACGTTATATAATTCCTAGGAAATATTGATGTTCGCAGTTACGTACATGGGACTAATAATTTAAAATTTCCATCATTGAAAGATAATAAATATTTTATAGGCTTTTTAATGCTGTAACTGCAACCTTTAGATTAATCAGCCATCATTACAGTAAAGGTGAGCATGATAAAACAATGGCAAATTTTTGTGCCACAAAGTATCCGTTGTTCCATTATGAACCTTTTCCTGGTGATTTTAACGAATAATTTCTTTCCTTATCCTTGTCTTTGTGTTGAATAATTACTTGATGACTTCCTTTAGATATTCGACTTTCATACCCTTGGGGCAGAAGATAAAGAGATTAGTTGAGTAACAGTCTGAGAGCCAATTTCCTGATTCTTGACTAGAAATTGAGTCATGTTGATATTATGTAGGAAATGAACATTAACTTATATCATTTCTGAATCGACTGCCTGTATTCTAGATTCTATGGTGGTAACAGCTGATAAATTCAGTATTAATGAATAGGCGTATTTAAATTAGCAACGATACTGCTCTTCATATTTACATATATAAGTCCTTCATATTTACATTGCAAATTCACATTTTTACTTGGTACTCAAAAATTTTACAAAAACTAAAAATATCATGATCATGATGACATTATTATAAGATGACACGATCACTTTCATCAGCCTATCTTACAGAAATCGTTGTTGTGGTTTATTAAAACGCAAACAAGCCAAGGCCACCGCTGACCCATCGTGTTTGCGTAAGCGGTCATTCACTTGTACAGTACCATTTCTTACTGTGTCACTCAGTACAACTATTTGTATGGATGGCGGTATTTTGTTCATCTTTTAAACATGCAATAGAACTCTTGCGAAGTTTTTCTAACTCAATCGTTTAGTTTGTTTTGCCTTTCTTCTGTCTCTGGGCTTTGCTTGTCAAATATGATAGATTAATCCTGTCTATTGTAATTCAAGGAGATTTTGTCATCTTTGACTGTTTGTAATATTTTATTTATAACTGTTGGTCGGTCATGGTCGATCCTTTATTGTTGTTCTTTTTTTCAAAATCCTTCAACTGTAGTCTAAGATTAGTTAGTGGTTAGATGATTTGTGAATTCTGAAATTTCGTCATATTGGCATCAATCAGATATAGTTTCAAGTGTATTTATAAATTTTATTAATTTGGTAATAGGATTAACTATACCAAACTTCATTGACGATTTTCGAATTTCATCTCTAGTTCATTCAAGACTCTTTTTTCCATTCAAATCGCAATTATCAGTATTTGCAGCTTTTAAGCCAACTTCACACTTTTTGTCTTTCCCCAAGCACCCTAGAATCGCAATCTATTACATTAGTCTACGTGTTGCTATGTACTGATGTTTTGTATGGGCAGTGTTTGACTCATTACGTCCTATGCTCATATGGGTGAGATTGCGTACTGCCTGGTTAGGAGCCGCATCACGACCGACCTAGTCTTTGTTAGTCGATAAAAACTAATGGCGCCGTTTCATAGGTTCTCTCGGGTTAAATGTTTTAATGAAATTGCTAGGGTTGGTACATGTCATTATTGTCTTATGAATATAATATGCAGATATTGTTTAGATATACAGTTTTAGTCAGCTTTGTTGTCCTCCTGCAACACAGCCGATCTAGAAGTTACTGGGGCCTATTTGCATACGCGTTTTATCAGCAAAGTAGTTATGATGTATGTAATCCTGTTTTATGCACCTTTCCCATACACAGTTCAGGCTCCGTCTTATTACTGAAGAGGAGACGCAAATAAATATGACCCTAATATTTTTTAACATTGTGTTTCTTCAATAAGATGTTATGGTGTCTAAGAACGGTTTCATAAGATGCGTCGTTTATTTCGAGAATAATTTTTATACACACGGTAGTTGAATCTAACATATCGCTATTACTGATGATTTCAAAATACAAAAATACCTTGCATGACCCGGAACTCGAATCAGTAATGACGTTAGAAGTTACGCTTACAATAAAACGGTTATTTTAAACCTCTTTATTGGCCATTACTTGTTATTGGTTTTATTAAAACACATTTGCATTCCAATAATAGGCTTAAATGGGAGTTTCTGTAGCGACTTTACTTTTTGACCTTTGTCCAGGTTAGAAAATAATTATTTTGGGCTTAAGTCAATCCACTGCAATACAATTCCGCTATCAGAATACTCAACAAGCAACCTACAATTGTAGAAGGTAATTGCGATGACACCACCTTTAAAAAAAGTGAAATATAAACTTCACCTGATTGCGTTACCATAAAATTACTCACGAAGGGCTAATCAAATCAGCTCGATGATTGGCGGAACTGATTTTTCAAATGATGACGTCACAGTTACAACACTGTGATGACACAGATGTTTATTTATACATGCTAATTAAGTATTCTACATCTCTGTGCGTTACGTACCTATCATAGGCCTCGATCGTAACTTGAATATCTTAAGTTTCTATAAATAAATAAAACTTAGGTAATCGGTTGGTAAAGGATGAGCAATCTACCTACATATATCTACAGTACTACTGTTTGACTAGAAGTTCTGACCTGACGTAAGTCTTGAGGGATTTTAGTACAGACTTTGTGATATCTTAAAAAGGGCTAATTTATAGCGGTACTCAGAAAACGCGAGAGTCAGGGAATGCAGGGAGTTACATTGTTCCCGCAAAAGCCAAACAACAAAACTTTGTAACTAGAGAATTGTACTATTGTAAACCTGATTGAAAAATAGTAACCTATGGAGTTTCTTGCTCGTTCTTCTCCATAGGAATCTACACCTTAGAATGAGCAAATAGCTTCACTTTTAAATTTTTGTTGACGTTCAAAAGAGCCTTTCTGGTCTAATTGAAATAAATGATTTTGACTTTGACTTTGGCTTTGCATCATAAAATCAATAGTTTGAATATAGATACTTATGAAATATTTATTCACGTATATAAAGAATAATAAGTGCTACATTTATATTTATATCTCAGTATTTATATCTCAGTTCTCTCATTCTAATAAAATCTAAAATGTATCATGCATATTTTAGATTTTAAAACCATCAATCAGGATTTAGTTTCTCATGTAAATAACTAAATATTTCGATACAAATTTTACGCAAAACACATAAAGTTTTGCCCAAGACAAGCCAATCAGTCAATTAATGAACAAAATTATGTTAATTTTATGCTTATAGGTCTTGTTTTGACATCTGAAGGTCGCAACAAAGCTTAAGCACAGAAATTTTGTCTAGGCATATTAAAATACTATGAAATATAGTTTCAACATTAAGTCGCTCCTTCTGATTACCGTTCGCAACAGTTACCAATAATAATCTTCTGCCAATGAATATTTGAATGTTAACAATTCATTTATTTATTCATTTGTTTGCATACCATAATGTGTATAAAAGATGTTATTATGCTTAAGAGCTAAAGTACAGTTATGGACCCTGTTACAGAAACATATATCTAAAAATGAAAGACAATAATTAAAATCACAAATATAAAATTAAAAATACAAAATTAAATTTCAATATAAGTTAAATTTGGAATACAAAATAAAAGTATAGATATTAAATTAAAAAAATAATAATAAAAAAAAAATAGCGATTACAATTCATGGTCACATAGCGATCACAATGGTTCAATGAGGACGTCACGAACCTCTACTGTCGCGCCGCGTCTCATAGAGAACCCAAATTGTGTCGAATTCGTCTGAGCCATATTTATTATCAACACGTTTTTTTTATTTTCAGAGAGATACTTTCAAAAGCTGTAGCTTTTTGAGGAGACAGACTAGAAAGTTTAGGGTTAATACCTCACTAAAACAACCCCGGTTAGGATCTATAAAAAGACATGGGTCCAGTTAATAGACTAGTTCGCAAACCCCATAATGCAATGCTAGTTACGGCACAGATACGGTTTTATTGAGTAGCCATCTATCCTGAATTCGTAGGTGTTGCGACAAATCATTTTTCTTGGCAATGCGTTGATAGAAGTTGACAACAGCCATACTAATGTGGAAATAAGTTTCAATAACAAAATGCAATACAGTACCGAACATTCTATGCAAGATAGCAAGACGTCTACAATCTTCAATGCAATTCTAAATAGTAAAATTAAGCAATTTATCTATTTGTACACAAACCACTCGACATGGTACTAAGGTCAGTGGCTGACGATTAAGTTATTTGTCGTGAACCAATATGTGGTGTAAGGGTGCTTTAAAACAACATTTGTTTGGCCTTAATGAACACGGTAAATTTATTTACGGAAAATGTTGTTGAACATGAATTTATTTCGGGAGGTTTCGTGATTCTTGTATTCGTTCTTACTGTTTTATAAATAGATTTTTATTATTATGATTTGTTGGGATATTAAGTAAGTGCGTGTTTTGTTTTAGTATAAACTTCATCTGTTTTACAAATGCAAACATAGTTAGGTACAGATTTATATTGTATCTTATAAATAATGGTCTAAACTTTTTTCATCTTATTTTTAACTGACTTCCTATAAAGGAGGAGGTTATCAATTCGGCTATATGTTCTTTTTTTTTAATAAGTATGGAAGGAAGAATATTTGGCCAATGTCAAACAAATACTATCACATAACTATATATATATAATTCTTCTGTGAGTGTGTATGTCACTGAACTTCTCTCAAACGACTGGACCGATTTTGATAAAAATTTTTGTGTGTGTTCAAGGGGATCTGGGAATGGTTTAGATTCACAAATCAGCCCGGCAGATGGCACTGCAGTCGGTGTCTAGGTTATTTATCCTAAACGGCTGAACTAATTTGAATGAATTTTTGTTTA